AATATTAATTATGTTTGTTGGCTGTGGAAGAGATGCACGAAAGTCTTTTTGTAACCAACTGATGCACTTTGTATAGCATGTAAAGAAGGATGTTGTATTTGTTTTAAATTAAAAATTAAAACAAAATTATTTAAAAAGAAGGTTGGGAACCACTGGTTTAAAGGAAGCTTGGATACTGATCTTGGTAAATCTCTGCTGGAAAAAAATGGCAGAAATTATGGAAAATGGATGGATTCAGCTTCAATGCAAGAACTGCAGTGAAAGATTATACATGGCTCCACTTCAGTCCAATTAGATTGGCATATACATATATCAAAATTATTCTTCCAAATGTTGGAAATGTAAAAATATAGGGAAGGGGTTCAATTGTGGTGGTCATCCAATAAAGCTATTCCATCTTGGGATAAATGTTGGGGGGAGATAAGTACCATGACTAAACAAAGAATTGAATTCTACTCAGAGTTAGGCTTACTGCATTTAATTACATGACCAAATCTCAAGCTTAAAAATAAGGAACTCATCTAATTTTAGCAGATAAAATAATAATTGTCCAATATTGAAAAACTCTAGATTTTTGAGGAACTTTTGAGAAACAACTGAAATGTGCATTAAGAAAACTACTTAAATTGCTATGTTAGACGAAAATTATAAAGCTTAAATAATAAGGCATCAGAATCAGGAATCACAATTTTATAAAATTTGAATGTATTTTATGGATTATCTCAATAACAATAGACTATAATATGGTAATATTTATATATATGGTAAATCTGTACATGTGTGTTTTAATAGATTAATATTGGAAGTATAAAGCATCCATTTCTGAAGTGCAGCATGAACTTCTAACATCTTTCCACTGCCACATGCACACATCATGATAAAAACATAAAAGTGCATGTGACACTAAAAATGTGCATGTGACACTATATAAATAAATAACCTGAAAGTTTAGAGTGTATTTGAAACTATACTTTCCCTTCACCAGAACTTCCTTGTGTAGTTGGCTGACTCTGGGTGTGAACCGGTGGACTAGATGGGAAAGGAGGCTGTCCCAAGAGGCACTACTTGCTATGTTCTAAAAATACCTGACTTCACATTCCAGAACATAATTTGTACATAGGAGAAAAGGTGTTAGGGAAGGCGAGAAACATATAAATACTTGAGAGGATATATTAGTCCTGGTTCTTAATAAATTTTGCAAATCCAATCCCCGGGGGCATGTCTTGGGAGTATTGTTCATGTTTTACTATCTATTGTTCCTCTGTTATTTACTTGTTACATTTATATCCTTTCTTTCTTTCACATCCAAATGGCATACGGAGTACTTCCATTTTTTTTCTCCACACAGCAAACTTTTGAGGAAGTTTGAACTTTCTTTGTATGTGTGTGTGTGTGTGTGTGTGTCTGTCTGTCTGTCTGACTAACTGACTGAGAAAGCCTAGTTTAAGTTGCTCAGTGAGCTTTCACTGTTTTTCCAGTAGCTGATATTGGTTTTCTGTCAGTTTTATTTTTTTATTTTCTTTTTAATCCTTTTAATTATGATGCACTTCGTTTTTACTATACTGTGTACACTGCGCTGTAGCAATCACAGCAGTAACAGCAGAACCAGCCTTTTCTTATGCCTTTTTGTATCTTATTAAGCTGATACAAATACTTTCTTCTTGGTTTTTAAGAAAGGTTTCATATATTATTTTTAGTCCAGATGATGACAATGCAGTAAAGGAAGATTTCGACTCTGCTAAATTTAGGCCAGACATTTTAGCCTAAAGGGAGAACAGCAGTGAACAGTTAAGGCATGCTTTAGTCTTGTAGAATCTACTTTGCTTTCATTAAACTCCTGGGATCCATCAACAAGCAAAAAAGAAGAATTCAGAGATTTCTCCATTGAGGAAACCAGTGCAATCAGTAGAAAGAGGAAGGAAGCCTATTTTTTCTTGGTTCCTGATCATTCAATTTCTATACCAGAGATTTCTGTGGAATTGTCTGAAAAAGGCTTGAGGCTAGCAGGGAAGACTTGCTGTGCAAGAATAGTGCCTGTAAGTGCAACACATGATTTTTACATCCTTTAAAAACCACCCTAAGCTGAGAAAGTTGCACCATAAGAAAGACTAAGTATCAAAGAATTGAGGCCTTTGAACTTTGGTGCTGGAGAAGATTCCTGCAAGTCCCTTGGACTGCAAGGCGAACAAACCGGTCAGTCCTAGAGGAGATCAACCCTGACTGCTCTTTAGAAGGCCAGATGCTGAAGATGAAACTCAAATACTTTGGCCACCTAATGAGAAGGAAGGAGAAGAGCCTAATGCTGAGAAAGATTGAGGGCAAAAGAAGAAGGGGACGGCAGACAATGAAGTGGATGGATGGAGTCACTGAAGCAGTAGGCGTGAGTTTAAATGGACTCCAGACGATGGTAGAGGACAGGAAGGCCAGGAGGAATGTTGTCCATGGGGTCGCGATGGATGGACATGACTTCTCAACTAACAGAGAATTCTGGAAAAACTCAATGTAAAGCACAGTTCTTTCATATAAAAATTTACAGGGATGTCAGAAAAAGGCACAGCAGTTGGGGTCCATATATTTGTACATAATTTCAACCATAATCTTAAAACCCATGTTCTGAATGATTATCATATATTGATATTAAAGTATTAAGAAAATTAATCAGTTTTACCTCCAAATTTAGCATCAACAGAAAACCTCTTAAAAAAACATTTTTGACATATTGGCATTTCAAAGATGAATGCTGCTAAGGGTAGCATTCTCTAATTATGAATTGTAAGATCTTTTTCTAGAATATTTGGTTTGTCTTCTTATACCCTCACATTGGATAAAGAAATATGCTTTGAGTAATAATTCAAAATAAATATGGCTTATGGCTATGCATTTTATTATTGTTATATTTATTATATCACTGTTAGTAAATCCATACTTCACTTGTACATTTTATCTATTACCTAGTCAAGAGGTATGTCATTTTCAACACAAATATTAATAGGCTTATAAGTGTACTATAAGGTTAAAACATGTCATTAAGAAGTTAAGAAAGTCCATTTGAGGGGACTTCTAGGCAAAGAATAGCAAACTAGACCTCTCCAAAGGTGCATGCATGCTGCTGCAGCCAAAACTGACTGGTGGCAAGCACAATCTAATGGAACATCTCTGGATGAAGAGCGATCACTCACTTGTGGTCCAGGGAGCTGCTCCTTGCAAGGAGACTGCAAGATTTCAGGCAACCCATGTCATTGAGTGCTGGGAGACAAAGGAGGCCATTGAGTTCTCAACTCAGTGGAGCCTCTAAGAATATTGGATTCATCCAATGTCACGTTCACATTTATAATAATTTTGAAGTTAAAAACTACTTGGTGAGTAAAACTTCAACCCCAAATAGAGGCAAAATTGACCAGCAAAAAGAATGTAGAGTATAAAACAAATAAAAAAGCGAATAAGAATTTAAGTTAAAAAAAACTATAAGCAAATTAATAAACTAGATAAATTTGTAACCCAAAGGTGCTTTCTTTCAAAGAAGGCTAACAACCACATAACTGCAAGGAATATAAATCATCCATTCATTCACCACTATTCAGTCAGAGCAGAAGAAGCTTCTTGGATGAGAAGCAAAATGTCTTCTAGTAAAACAAGGAAGTCCCATTGCCTTTTGAAAGAATCACCTTTGGGACAACCATGTTGAATCTCCATAGACATTTAACAATGCACTTTGGGACAAACACCCTTCACAAGGTGGAGGAATATGAAAGGATTTCCAGAAAAAAAAATGCAGACTACAGGATTCAAGTAACTCTGAGGGCACAGATAGATCCCAGAAAAAGGCTAACAATCACATGACTGCAAGGAATATAAATCCTTCCATTTGTCACCATTCTTCACCCTTCTTGGATGAGAAGTGAAATGTCTTCTAGCAAAATACCAGTCCAATTGCTTTTTGAAAGAAAACATCTTTGGAATATTTTTTTTCTATTGCTTTTCATTTCTCTTTTTTCTTTTTACATTGTATTTCTTATCTACTTTTATCTCTTTTAATATAATAGTTCTTTTAAAAATAATAGTAATAGAATCTCTACTCTATGTCCCCTATGGCCTTTCCCTACTGATCAATATATGAAGTGGTAATGCCAAATAACTGGGGCCTGACTTTAATTGCAGAGCCAAAAGGATGAAAAACCAGGTTAGAAAGCTGATAAGGTTTATTACAGCTGTTCATGTGTGTATGTATGCAAACAAACAAATAAGAAAAAACACACATTATGAAGAAAAGAAATCCACTAGAGACCCTAGCCTAGAAGATAACGTGGATCATTTTTGGACCAGAGCTACCTGAGTCAGCACGATGGGAAGCATATAAATTTAGTAACTAAATAAATAATTTCAAACTCTAAAGCTTCTTTTCTGTAAACTCTACAACTAGAATTAAATTATTGAGTCATATTCTTGGCAGTTTTATTAACGTAAGTCTTTAAAACAATGAAATACTAAAAGTTAGTTATTGTGTATCTGAAGACACACTTACTAACAGTTAATTTAGAAACTCTGAGGATGTCAACTTGGTTGATGCTAAATCCATTTCTAAATTATCTTTGGTCAGCGTAAGACAGGCATATCAGAACAGAAAATAAAAACATTGAAAATGGTGTAGTATAGTATATTAGTCAAAAGAATGACATCAAATGAAAACCATTTGTACTAAGGTATGCAAGACCACTGTGTTCCAAAGAGAATGAAGTTATGATTATCGATTAGTTTAGGTAGAAGAAAATGATGTTGCTTAATGACCCAGTAGTGTACTATTATAACAATTGATGTACATACCTTTTCCAATAAATTAAGAGCAGATTTTAAAGCATATTTAATATTGGTGCAATAAATATGGAGAAAATTGAGGGGGAAGAAAAATAGAGACAAATATCATAAGAATGAACATTATAAACAAACATTACACTTTTACAGATAGTAGTTACATGCTAAAAATAATTTGGGCCAGTTCTCACCCGACCAGGTGTGGGAAGCATAATTTCTTCCATTTCTTTTTGTAAGAGATCGCTGAATTGTTGAGGCAACCCTTTGGCGTAAATGACTGACTCTGCGAAGCATCTGGTGATGATTTTCTTGTCCATCTCTTGAATATCCATGCTGCGACATGGTGTTGTCACATTAATTTTTAACGTTTCCTAGAATGAAAACCTATACAGTATTTCTCTTGAAGCTTTGAGTGCAGTTGGTACTCCGATGCTACTTAAAAGTGAGTCTTTTTAAAATTATCAAACACTGCAACATTACAAGAATAAAGTTAAATCACATTTAAGAACAGCAGTAAGTTTCTTGAAGACTTCCTGTATACTTCACTGAGCAAATTTCAAAGCACAATTTCTTGATGCACAAAATATTTCACTCTTTCCCTTACAGCCAGTCCTTCAAATCCGAAGAAACTAGACATACACTTGATCCAGAAGTGTTTTTAATTAGAATCTTTGACTGTAGTTGCATCCAAGTGTACGGTCTTTCTCTTTACCATGTATCTTTTCATAGCATTCTCATCTGTTTTTCATTTCTAATTGCACAGGAATATCTTTTGAATTTCCAAGCAAGAAATATCCATGCAGGTCTTCTTCAAATATTCAAAAATCAACATTTAATGAAGCAGACATCTTTTATTTGAAAACTAAGAGTTATAAATCCTAGATTTGGCTGTCAAGAATGTTGTTTTCTGTCAAGGTTGTTTCTAGGCTGCTGATTTCAACAAGGCAGACAAACCCACCAATGTTCAAATTCAAGGTTTATGCATTCATCACATAAAAAGCATTATATGTTCTTCAGCCTATTCAATACAAATGATGTTGCTTCTGGGCTCTTCAAAGCTAAAATTGATTTTTCATCAAAGCGTTCAGAACGGAAAAGAACAACTCCCAGAAAAAACTCTACTTTAATAAACAACTTGCAATGGGAAGGAAGGGAGGGGATACAGACCACTGTTCTGCAGGATTTGTTCTCATCTTATTTAACACAGGAGAGAGGAAACTGCTTGCATTGCTTTCCTTGGCAGTAATTCCTTTCCATGAAAGATATTTAACTGGGGGTGCAATCAGAAAGCCAACACTTTCCCACAATAGCATACCAACATCTGCAAAAACTGTGAAATATAACAGCTAATCTACACCACATGAGACTTAAGAGTTGAGTATTATCTTATGTGAAAATGCATATGGCGCATTGTTGTTACTTTTCTAACAAATGTATATATATTATATTATAAATGTGTGTGTGTGTGTATAAATATAAATATAATTGGAAGAGTTGTATCATTCTTCAATTGGTACTACAATAAATATTAATTTAGTTTTCACTAAATTTTTCATGATATGACTATTTTCTTTTACAGTAGAACTTTAAAGTTGCTTTTTAAAATATTCCCATATTGCATGTTATAACAAAATATTCTGTTGAAGTGCCTTTTGATTTTATGACAGCATTCAGTCTTTTGGTGTAGGAGCCTATCAGCATAGCGCATCTTGCCTTGGGAATCTTTGCCCACTCTTCCTTGTGAAAGGCTTCAAATCTGTCAGACTGTGAGAGCATCTCCTATACACAACCCTCCAACTTTTCAATTGGATTCAGGTCCAGGCTATAACTAGGATATTCAAAACTATGGTTTTCATTTGGTGAAGCCATTGCTTTGTTGATGTGGAGTTCATTTGTCATGTTGAAAAATGAAATTTCTCTTAATCTTCAGCATTTAAGCAGAGCCCTGAAGACTTTGTGCCAAAATTGACATTTAGAACTGTTCATAATTCCCTCTACCTTGGTTAAAGCACCAATTCCTCAAAGCATAATGCTGCCATCACCATGCTTCCCTGTGGGTATGGTGTACTTTTGGTGAATCTGCACTGTTGTTTTTCCACCAAGCATGCTTTTTGGAATGATGGCCAAGAAGTTCACCCATGGTCTCATCAGAGAACAACACATTTTTCCACATGCTTTTGTCAAACTTGATCTAGGTGTTTGCAAAATTTGTTTTGGATGTTTTCCTTTTTACGAAAAGGCTTCCATCTTACCACTCCACACCATAGTCCCACACATGAAGAATATGAAAGACTGTAGTCACATGTAGTACATAGCCAATACTTGTCAGAATGTCCTACAACTCCTTTAGTGTTGCTTTGGACCTCTTGGCAGCGTCTTGCATCCGTTTTCTTCTTGTTTTTTTAATCAATTTTGGAGGGACATCCAGTTCTTGGTAATGTCACTATTGTGCCATATTTTTTCCATGATGACTCTCTTCAATCTGTGTGCCATAATATTTACAATGCCTTGGAAATTGTTTTGTACTTGCATCCTGGCTGATACCTTCCAAGAATGAGATCCCTTCAATGCTTTGCAGACCATGGATTTTGCTGTCAGAGGAAACTGAGTAAATGTCAGAAAAATCCTACTAGAACAGCTGAACATTATACGGGCTTGATCAGAGTCACTTTAATTGATTGCAGGTATGTACTGACTAGTATTTAACTCCAGTTTGAATGTGATTGATTAATTCTAACACAGCCACAGCCCTATTTATAAGAGTGTGTGTACACTTATGCAATCACAATATTGTACATTTTTATTATCCACCTTACATATAAAGACAAAGACAAATCAAACAATATGAAAAAATAAGTTCCTGGAAACAGTACCAGTATAGATGATTGGTAATAATTAGGAGTACTATAATGGGTGTATGTGTTGTACCCTTTCTATCACATCAAAATTTAAAAATTGATTTTAAAAATGCATACCACAATAGGTGCCACCCCAAGACTCTAGTACCCTGATGGTGAACTTATGGCACATAGGCCAGAAGTGGCATGCAGAGCCATCTCTCCAGGCATGCCAGCTGTCGCCTGTTGGTCTTCCAAGTTCCGGCGTGCACATGCATGCTGGCCAGCTGTTCTTCGTGTGTGCATGCATGCCAAAAACTGGAAGATTAGCTAACCATTGCTGTAGAACTGTTCTTCTGGTTTCGTGCGCTCCTTCACATGCGTGCCAGGGAACTGTTCTTTTGATTTCCGGTGCTTTCCCATGTGCTCCCATTTCGGCACTTGGTGCCGAAAAGGTTCACCAACACTGCTTTAGAGCACAGATGTCAAACTTGATCATATCAAGTGACATCATGTGACGTATTGTGTTTTTTGCCTTTGCGGAGCCGGGGTGGGCATGGCCTGCTCATGATGCATCCAGCCCCATGGGCCCCCAGTTTGACACCCTTGCTCTAGAGGCCTATTTTTTTTAAAATCATTTTATTCATTTGGTCTGAAATATTTTTTCCTAATTTGAAAGTCTGCTATACTGAGCAGAGTCTCAAGAATAGGAAACTTACTTAGGCCTCATAGAGTCAATATTTACTTACTATATGTTTAATATAGTAATATATATAATTAATATATATATAATTAGTAAGTAATAGTAAGTAAGTAATATATAATTCAATATAAGCTTGCAAAATATTTTAAGTGAGCAAAATATTTTAAATGCTATGGCTGAGCATAGCAATAAAAATGGGTGGGCATTCAACTGCATGGTTTTGACCTTTGGCACCATCTAGGCTGCCATCTTGATCTTTTTGATCCCCTACATGTGGGTACCATGACTGAGTAGAGGAACTTTCCCTTTCAAGAATCTCAGAATCATCCCTAGAACCACTCTAGAAAGCAGCAGCAGAGGTGGTATTCAGCTAGTTCTCTCCAGTTTGGGCGAACTGTTAGCGGTGGCTGTGAGAGGCTCCGCCTACCCAGATGTAATGCGGAAGCATTGCGCATGTGTAGAAGGTGGCGTGCATGTGCAGACAAGGCGCATGCAAGTGAGGCGTCCATATACTCACATTTGCAAACCAGTAGGGAAGGTAAGTGAATCCCACCTCTGAGCAGCAGTAAAATTGAAGATAAGCAAAACTCAAGATATTACATCCCTCCCTCTCTCCAAGATGGCTATTAGTTAAGTTTAACATAGGTAACAAAACTTGAAGATCTCCAAGTACTCCAGTAGGATGCATTCACAGTCACTGGGGGGAAAGGGGGGAAGGAAAGCTAAATATTTGGTAACTCATTTTTGCGAATTTGCCAGTTTGTGGATACAAATACATCTGTCACAGAAATCATAATTTGTAAGAAAAAGGATACTGCTCCTATTTCTTCTGAATACTAATCTGCCAGGTTCAATCAGATTTCTCCAGTCTCCATAACAACCCACAATTAATTAGCACCTTCAAAGAGAGCAAGGACTTAACAGTATTAATTGGAAGTTCTGAACAAATACCACCTGCTCTTCTCTCTCCCCTGTGCAAAGATGAAATGAACTGCATTGGAGAACAAACAAACAAGGCATTGAAAATCTGAGCTCTGCTCAAATAAGATTTCTTGGCCTTTTGACAAGCCTGACAATTCCAATGAAATATAGTCATACTTTTTTCATATTTTTTGGAAGATAGTTGGATGAAAAGCTAGCATGGCAGAAAAGTCAATCTGACAAACTCCATGCTAAACCAGGTTTAAGCTTTTACCTACTTTACAGGATTGTTACTGTGGGAATGATTCCCATGAAAGCTGCCATGGGTTCTTGGAAGAAGGTTGGGACATAAAGTAATAGATAAAATGCCTGCAATAAGATGGAATGTTACGCGAACATACATACACATAAATAATTAGCATTATTGCTAAATGGAATGGTTGAGCTATAATAGCAAATCACAACTAAATATTAAAAGTGTAACTGTCAATGAGATGCTAGTGTCTGATCCAGACTATTCTACCTGTGCTTGGTTCAAGTGAAGTACAGCTTTTAAAACTCAAATGTTAAGTAGAAACCATAGTTTATTCAAAATCATAGTTTTCCATCTCTTTATCTCATGCTACTTATTTTAAATATTTACATAACCACCCATCTTATGTACCATAATCCCAGATGGCTTACAAATAATGCAGTGCACAGAAGTTATTTCAAGTACTTTTTAAAAAATAACACAAACATTCTATGTATTAAGTTATTTTTCCAGAACTTCAAAATGCCCAGAATCTTACAATTTTTCAGTGATTTCACCTTACAATTTCTACAAGGATGTAAAGATCATACAAAAAGGTCAAGTTTCTGAGCACTTAGACACGACATAAATGTAATACAATCCCCAACATTTTATTAGGATTTAGTTTAAACAAAATTAAATTTGGGGGATACTATATCCAGTTTTGTAAGAGTCAATGACTACATTGTTTCTCACAGAGCATAAACTACAAACATATCCCAATCACTAAGAGAACAGACAGTCCTGAATAGTTGGCATTCTATTTTCCTGAAAATAAGACCTTCCCAGATAGTAAGCCCAATCAGGGTTTTGAGCACATGCAATGAAATAAGCCTTTGCTGAAAATATTGCAACACAGCAGCAGCCATGAGGTAACCATGCTCGCCACCCCCTGCACCTCAAAAATAATAAGACCTCCCCCAAAATAAGGCCAAACGCTTATTTCGGGGGTCAAATAAGACCCTGTCTTATTTTCGGGAAAACGTGGTATATGAATTTCCAAATAGGCATAGTTACTTTAAATACTTGAAGGCAGGTGATACATTCATGTTTCCACATCCTTTGAAACCAAATCAAATCTGAAGAACTACAATGCCCTAATCTGTAGTTCTAAAGACAGACCTTCCTATACTAATCATTTTATACTAATCATTTTATCTAGATTGGTAAAGGGACTAGGGGTATTCCTGTTGGTGCATTTTGTTAGTCTTAGCTTCCTAGGAATTGCTGGATTTGGACCCTGAAAAGGGAATCTAGACTAATCTCCTTGTGACAGCCAATGTAGACTTTAAGTCCCGGCC